CAAACACAGTAACTAGAACTTTCTTAACATTCCAGCAGGTTGTCAAACACAGTACCTAGAACTTATTTAAACCTTCCAGAACAAATGATTGAACTTTTCAAAAGATTTAAAAACATTAAACTTTTCAGAAGACATCTTTCAGGAAAACAAAGCTTAGAGATAATAAGCTTTGTGAGTTGCTTGTGGTTCTTCAGGCAGTTTTTATTCCTTGTGATGATGAGCTGCCAGATTGAATTTTGTGCCCCATGGTTCCTTATTGGAAGGTGCACATGGAGCTACATTTCTCTAACTTGAGAATAATGGGCTTTATCTAGGCCAATATTTACTTATCTTTATCCTTAGTGTTTTGTGTAGTTACTTGGTCATCTGAGTTCCTTCCATTAAAAAGATGTTAACTAAGTTGTTCATTGTAATAAAGCAACGTTCTGGGAATATTGTGTGCTTTCCAAGCGAGTTCTTCTCATTCAGGCAAGTTGTGGTTTGTTTTGAATATGCATTCAAGTGTTCGGAAGCAACACTTCTTTTCTTCAAATTGCGCTTCATATTTTGTCCGTTTTTATCAATGTTATTCAACATATTCATGTGATGGAACATGAAAATAAATAGACAACATACATGGATAGCTCTTGAGTACCAGGACTGTTCTGGAGTTTCTGCTATTTCTGGTATTTTAGGGACTGCTCTGGAAATTCTGGAATTTCAGTTTTCCAATCTTCACACAAATTTCAAAGGTAGTTGGTTTGAATTGTGCTTAGAAGGATTTACAAGGTAATTATGTTTGGAATATTTTTCATACTTGGATTTAGGGTTTTAAGTGGTTTATTCCTTAGTGTTAGGCTTTTCATCAATTTCTTACAGGTTCAAGTCATATAATAAGAGGATTATAAACTCTTTATGGGGGTTTTTACTTTCATTGAAAGAAGACTAGTTTTGCTCCTTGATTTCCTTGGTTTGTTGAAATCAATGCTTCAAAACTTACTTTGTGTTTCTAGGTTTTTCTCTTATGGTTGTAGGTCTTTTTTCTTTTCTCGATTCTATCATTTTCACCCCCTTTTTTTTTTTCGTCTACCTTGTTTCACACATAAAAGTGGTAATAGAGCTAGTATTCTTCAGAGGTTGTATTGTTTTATCAGTTTTAGCTCTGATTTTGCAACATATTGTATAATTCAATTATAATGGCTGCAAGTGGCACCATTGGTAGAGATAAGAGGAGGAAGAGGTGGATGGTAGGAAGTAGTACTGAAAATTCAAGCACAATTGGATCAACTAACATGTAAAGTTGTGTTGAGAAACTGAGCATCGAGTGTGAGATAATGCAAAATCTCATGAACCTAACCCTAGACATGTTGAGCCTCTTGTGAAGAATGACATATGAAAGGTGTACAATATGACCGGGCAAGTCACTGCCAATTAAAATTTTCTTATCTTTTTCTTATTGTATTGTCACTCGAATCACTTACAAAGTGTCCAAATACAATATAAGTCAAATAAGATTGCCAAGAACTCTCACTTGCTTGCCATTAAACAAAATACAGATATGGAAATGAAAGATACAATGGCTCTAAAAGAGCATAAATCAAGAGAATACCTTATACTTTGCCTCAGGTTACCCCCAAGGACTTCGCACACCCCACACCAGGTCTTCTCTATCAATGACACACGGGATCTTGGTTCAAAATTTCATCTCACAACTTGAGAAGCCTAGGCAAAAATCAGCAGAGAGCATAACATGGGATATCCCTTGATCAAGGCTCAATACATGAGCATAAGGTCAAGGCCTAGGGCTAGGCTATGTGGCTTGGGCGTGCCATCCCTCAGTGTTAGGTTTCTTTCCTAAACCCTAAACTTTAGAGAGAAGAAAAGAGAAGTTTACAGAGGGGTGTGCCACCCCTTAAAGGCTCAGAGAGAGAGAGAGAGAGAGCGTTGAGGTATGTAGAGAATGAACCCCCCATAGCTTGTTTATATAGAACAAGGATAGGGTTTCTAGGGTTAGGGTTTTGACATCATTATGAGATTTAATCTTGACCTTTGATCTTGGAGACCTCTGGGGTGAAGAGATATCATCCATTCATCTCTTAGATCAACCATTATCCCTCAGTTTCCATAACTCCATTCCCATCAAATAGAAAGTAATAAATAAATCACAATTAATTGCTTACACCTTCCGTTTTGAAATCAATTGCTATTAATTTCTTACACCTTCCAATTTTGAAATCATTCAAAATCTCTTCACAAAAGGTTTCTTAAAATATCAAGTCAGCATATGGCATTATTGCCATCCATCAATTTAGGAAAGTTTAAAAGAGGTGGCCATGTGGGCCCCACACCTCAAAATATGGTGGGCACAATGTACCTCAATGGGCCCCCAAATACGTTAACATAATTTCAGATAATAAAATAATTTTATAAATGGTGTGGTTTGTATAGAGCCTAGGCTTTAAACAATCAAATTAGAGCCTAGCTTCATATAAAGTCGAGAAATGTGGTTTCAATACTAGAAATCTTTGTGATAGCCTTGAAATATATTTTTATCTTTATTTATAAAGTTTAAAGCTTCAAAAATAGTGTCGATCAATAGATCTATGAAAACTTGAAAATCTTGAAAATTGACGGTCCAAAAAATGCATTACAAAATACACTATTTCAAAACTTGAAATCCATTTTTTTCTCATGTCCATGTTTCTTGATCTCGAGATGATCAATTTTGAGGATATTTGGGCATCAAAACAACCTCTTATAGTGAAATTTTTGGGGTAGGCTCAAATTTGATTGTTTAGAGCCTCGGCCCTATATAAACTTTTCCCTTTTATAACATCTCTAAATATTTTATTTTTTCTCTGATTAAAATAAATTGATTTTTTTTTAGTTAAAAATCATTTCTCAGTAAAAGAAAATACCTAAAGAAGTCTAAAAATTCATTTTAATTATCTGAAAAAATAATTAGAACATATTTAAATATATCTAAGAAGATTTGATGGGAATTGGATCCATAGAGTTAGGATTACGAGAAATATACCAAGGACTCCATCCTCTTTAGAGACCGTACCTCACTTCACCTTCACGTTCTCAAACTGATCCAACAGATCTCATGATCCAAAACCTCTCGTAGGAGTTCATGATTGGACTTTCAAAGTCAGCTAAGAAAGTGCAGAGATACCATTCTAGACTATGGATTACAGGTCCCTCCCTGAGGACAAGTCTATGCCCTATTTCAACAGTATGCTTCTTGGGTCTTTTCAATACAGTTCAGTATTGTAGGGAGTCATCTCTTCTACACATGTACGCGTCACACACCCTTCTCTATAAAGGGTCACTTCTTGGACAGTTGTTTAGTGTACATGTCGTGTGATGGTAATGTTGAGAATTTATACCCTTGTCCTCTCAGGCCATCCATCACACACAGGGGCCAAGTCCATGTCCCCTGACCAATTGTGCTAGGCACAACTCCGACCT